ACATGTCATTGGGAAGCACCTACAAAGAACTCCGTCACAATGAGAACATGTTCAAACCATTTGATTTTGTGAGCAAAGGTGCTGGTGTGATGACTTGTAATTGTGACGCCCTGACACTTTGATATAAGTACTTGCTTTGGATGGATATATCATCTGTTTTGATGAAGTGACTCGCTTTTGCAAGTTATCCACCATGTTTTGCAGTTTGCACTAATTGTTTTGAGAAGAGCCTTAGTAGTGGTGCAGAGATCAATTCTGTTGTGAGAAATGCACCAAAGCAACTGAGAAAAACTGTAATAGTAGCAAATGAAAAATGATCTGTCCACACTTTGCTCCTGAAAAAGCCCGAGTGGCACCATACGCTGAAATATGAATTATGACCATGGGCCAGAGTACTGTTACAGCGCCCAACACCACAGGAGTACAGTTCATACATTTATGTATAATTTTGTAATAAAAGGAATTTTGTCTGTTTCACCTGCGGTTCTTCTGTAATATTAACACTGTACAGTATTGTTTCATAGTCTCACACAAAGATTTTAACAGGAAATGTGGGCGCTACATTAGATCCACTGCAAACTCTCAGAACTGAATAATAACGGACAGACCACAGGATCTGTTGGCCTGACTGCAGTCAGACAAACTTTCTTTTATTACACCTCCACACACCAGGTATCTTCCCCACAAAGGTCATACAGCCACAGTGCTTTGTGTGGATACATAAAGCTTTGGTATCATTAGTCAGTTACAATGGTTACATGGACCCGCTGATGTGAATACGTTTGGCTTGTTGTTGCATCAAAGCAAATAAAAGGCTGAAAATTCCTCTGCTTTAGGACGACCTGCTGAACCAGGAGCACGATGACACATCGACATCGTTTCTGCCAGAGAAACGCGGAAATCACAACGTCGCTCAACCAGCAGTGTGCGAGGAAACGAATGCTACGAGCAGCTGTTATCAGCATCCATCAGCCACCTCGTGCTCTGCATCCTCTCACAGCTAGTTACATTAAAATTGAGATGACAAGCAAGGACAGCATAAAGATAAAAAAGTATAAGAGGAGGTATATGTGCAAAACATGTGGTTGCATACAAAACACCTTTTGATCACCTCACAAAAAAAAACACCATTCAGAAAGCAAAACTTGAGTAATAGCACAAAACACGACTTGAAATTTACAACCAGGGAGTGATCGGGACACAGTACAAAGTGCACCAATAAAAAACAGAAAATAATCATCAAGAGTGGGAGCTGCAGGCCTGCACAAGTGCTGACACTCTCTCTTATTCACGTTGTTTCCCCCCCGACAGAAGAGTCTGAATATCAGCTCTGTCAGGCCTGCTCTCCTCAAATGTTCATGCTTTCACATTGCTCTCCACTGGTACTGTAAGTGGGTACCAATTAGGCCACAAGTCCAGACTCCAACAATAGTGGTACGAGCAGGTAAAACAGCTAAAAGGCAGCAAAAGCAGAACTAATGCCAAACTTTTCGAATAGAGTTTGAAGCTGAACTGCTAAATAAATCATAAAAACATATTTATATATAATAAAAACAACTTTGGTTATTCTAAATGTAAGTTCAACATTTTATATTCCACTACGAGAACAGTGATTTTTCACTCTGAGCTGAAAGTTGGAATGAAGTTCAATCCAAATCAGGATGATTTAGTCCTGAATGCACTTAGTAACACAACTGTGTTGTTGTTGTGTAGCTGAATGTGCAGCTCGCTCATGTTTGCTAATAAGACAGACGTGTTATTAGACATTCGCCCTTCTTCTGCTGCTCTTACAACAACTGCCTGGATAAAGCTTTAATTAAGATTTTTAACAAGCTATTTTAAAAGCAATGTAAATGTCTATGTAGAGTATGAGTGTTAGCCATTAGTGTCACGTGACTCCAGCCAAGCACACAATAGTTGAAGGTTCACTCAAACTTTGAGATTTTGGTCTTTTGCACAAGAAAAATCATTGATGCAAAAAGTTGACAATAGTGGAGAACCAAAGATGAATCTAAGAAACCAAAGCTTGTGCCTATTGAGGGGTTACTGTTATGCTGTGATGCAACAGCATGGAAACTAGTGAAGCATGACTTTATGAACTCCTCACAGAGGACGCCTTAGGTGGCATGTGTCCTGTAAAATTACAAACAAATCAACAGCTCATCTAAAATCTAGACACACATAGAGACATGTCTACAATGCTAACGAAGAAAGAAACAAATCACACGTCCCACAACAAAGTCAGCCCGTGTTCGCTGAGAGTGAGCGCTCTTTGAGCCACTGCGTGTAATAAATATGTCAGCAGAAAGGTGATCGTCAAAGAGCTCAGCAGAGTGAGAAGTCAGAGCTAAAAACAAGCTGACAGTACCATCCACCAACCAGCAGCCTGCTCAGCTGTGTGTATGTATGTGACAGCAGTAATGTCTTCAGACTCCATAGTTAACGGAGCTCAGCGCTGGTCTCTTCTTGCCTTTAATCTTCAGTGATCCGTAACGAGCCTGGTGACAACGTTTAAGAAAAACACTCATCAGTGTTCATGCAGTCCAGAGATTCAGCACTACTGACTGTGGCAGAAGGATGTATCGACACACTAATGTGGAACAGAACACTCACGTCTTTGCGAACTCTGGATCGAGACAGTTTGACGCTCTGCGATCGCCTCAGTCCTTTCTGACTCACAGCCTCGTCTTCAGAGAAGGTTGGCTCGGCCTCTTCGTCCGTCCTTTCCTCCTGATCATAATAGTACTCTGGAGAACAGAAACACATACAGACGCGTCAGGAATCACCAAAACACACAATGCTTGCATCCATCTGTTCTCCTCCACTTAAAAGGTTCACCCTGCACAGGCGCCCAGTGCTAACACACAGAGATTAAGACGCTCACATTCACAGCTGTGGCAGACTCAGAGTTGCATGTTTGGGACTCTGGGCGGAGCTGGAGTGCCCGGATTTGAACCCAGGACCTTCCTGCTGTGAGGCGTCCGTGCTGACCAACACGTCTGAGTTTCAACAATGATCACCAAATTCAACGTAAGACTTTTTATACTGTTCTTACTATTAAAAGGGCCCACAGTCAATAAGCACACTCAAACTGAAATATTCAGTACAGTAATATAAACAGGAAACAGAAGCACAAATCAAATACACAACGATACTAAAACAACAACGAGACACAAAACCATCACAAACTGGTGAGGTCCTGTGAGGACCAACAACAGGAAAACTGTTTGTAATACTGAAGAGTGTGAGCGATGACTGTGAGGCGCATGTGTCCCAGCAGAGGGCAGCACACACCAGAAGTGCCGCCTCTCTCTGGCTCCACTGTCATAAACATACAACAGCACAAGCTCATTATTAATAACATCTGCAGCTTCACTGCACTGAGCTTATCATTACGAGCTCGTGGACATCATATCATGGACAGGACTGCCTCACACTATCGCACTCTTGTATCCAGGGATAAATATCGATACATTGGAATATTGCGATGTCTCGTGTTACGATACTGAATCGATATTCAAAAGCAGTGTTATCGATTTTTTTTATTGAGAATTTACTTGCATTTACTGTGTATTTCTTTTATGTGTAGCAATTCAAACTCCGGCCGCTAGTGTTTACCGCTTTCACTATGATGGAAAAACAAGGTCTCGCGATAACACTGGACGTGCCGTAGAAGCGTCTATTTTACCAAACCAAAGAAGTGGACCAGCGGACGTGTGGCAAACTGTGCTAGCTCACTGATGAAAGAAGAGGAGAGGACACAGCCGGCCTCAGCAGCTTTCAAAGCAGATGTGTGGACTTCTTTTGATTTAGGACAAAACAAGGCAGTAAAGACTTTGACAAGAGCTACGAAGTCCGTAAAATCTGCACCACCACAGTCAAATACTCAGGTAACACAAATTTACGAGTACCATAGCAACGTAGCATCAAATGCTAACCTTAAATCTACCAGCAACTTTGACTCGTGCAACAAAACCAGCGCAGTCAGTACTTGTTTCTATTTGCGCTGTCTGAGCGCAGTAGAGAATAAAGGATTTGGTGATATGATTACAACGCTGGAGCCCCGTTACACCGTTTCTCCGGACAACATATCGCAGACATCGCTCTCCAAAGTTGTACCAAGAAGTCACAGCGACAGTCCTGGACTCTCAGCTCAGCAGACAGCTGCTTGGACTTCGAGATCACAGCTCATCACATACTGATCCGTGGAACCTTCAGTCACAGACGAACAAACTCCTTTTCAGGTTGCACAAAAAGTGTTCCACTGGTGGACATGGCAGGGCTTCTTTTATTAGCACTTTATATGGTTTACTTGGATGAATTCTTCAAGCAATTTCATTTTTCATGTATATTTGTTTATGTTAAGGTCACATAAAAGTGCTTCTTTTTGATGCTGCAGAGAGCAGTTTTTGGATTAGTATTTTAAAATGATAGTACTCACTAAGTAAGACCTCAGTGTTACATTGTTTACTTCTATCAGTAAAGTGGTTTTTGTTTGTTTATCTTCTGATAAGACATTTCTCCATTCATTTTGAACTTAGAGAGTGAAACGTATCCCTCTGTTTTAGTTAACAGCTCATTTAACACTTTGGACTGTTTACTGTGCATTTTCATACAATCAACACAAACACAAATATCGTCTGGCTTTTAGTATCGCAATATATTGTATCGTGACACATATTGTATCGCCAGATTCTCGCCAATACACACTCCTACTTGTATCAACTGTATGCACTATACTTGAATATTAGTATGACGACAAAGTTGATTTGGACTTGATGAATGAATCGTTACCAAACACACTCACAATCAGTTACTAGCAGAAAGAAGAAACCACATCATGTGTTGTGACAGAGAACGACACTCACGACTGCACAGCACGGCTCCGGCGCTCGCACAGAAACATCCTGCAGAGCCTTCAGTTTTCAGGAACCAGCTTCCAGTTTGGATTCAGGAGACAGACACTATCTCTACTTTCAAGATCAGGCTTCAAACTTTCCTTTTTGCTAAAGCATATTGTTAGTGCTGGACCAGGTGACCCTGAATCCTCCCTTAGTTATGCTGCAATAGATGTAGGCTGCTGAGGGATTCCCATGATGCACTGGGTGTTTCTTCTTCTTTGGTCAGTTCACTGACCAGTTCTGTGGTCAGTGCAGATCCAGAACAGTGCACCATGCCTCAGCAGTGCTCTGATCTGTAGACTGTCCAGTGGAACATGTTTCCTGCTCTTCAATTAACTGACAGAAATTTTCATAGCAATGATGTCATCCTCAATTCTTGTCGACCTTGTTGTTATTTCTATTGTGTTTTTGTGGCAAAGAATCACAGACAGTATAAACCAAGGCTGTGACTTCTGTAACCTGCATTCTTCCATAAAGACGATGGTTACACAAAGACTTCCAGTCATGAAGACGTCAGTGAGAAAAACCTGGCTTCTTATGGTCTCAGTCACTATTTTGGGTCATACACAGTTTGTGTACAGTTTCACAGTCACAAACCATCCCTCCCCGTCCATATCTTTGCATCCTTCCAACAATGGAAACCAGTGGGTGATGCCACAGAAGCTCCACCCATATTTTATACTGTGTAGGCTCTTAACACAGGACTGAAAGCTTTCAAAGTATGGACAGCTACATGTATTTTCCATCTGGATGGGTCAATGTGAAGAAGGTGAAAACAGGTTATTATTCATTGTTAAAGCAAAATTAAGTGTTACATAGCTGGTTTAAACAAACTACCACAAATCTTGTGTTTTGTTGACTTGGACAGTGCAGGACCAGCTCTGGTAGCGTTCTCGTTTGTCACCCGATGTCAGGTAAACTGTTCCTATAGTTTACATGAGCCGCCACTGACAGCCGGGTCGCTGTGGAGAAGCAGGGATTGGTGCGAGCCTATAACGCAGGGTTAGGGGAGGTGTGTTCACGTGCTGGTACCGTACTCGACACTCTCGTGGCAGCTTTAAGTAAAGGCTGATTAGTACATCTCACACAGCAACTGTCTGGTATTTTGCTTAAGGTAAACTCAAAGATATTCAAAGGATGGCTGGAAGGCAAAGGGCCGCAGTACCGCAGCTCTCGAATCACGTGAAAACTATGGCTCAAGGTATTCAAGCTCATTCACCTCTACATCCCCGACTCCGTGCGTCTCATCCACACGTGGTCGTAACAACACAAAGGTTCTATGCAGGATTTATTAAGCATCAGATCTGTTAATAGTAAAATGAATGTGCAGTAGGGCTGTGCCCTTTGACCAGAATCTCATATCCTGATATTAGACATTTATCGTCCCGACAACGATAGAAATCCCAAAAACATTTTCAATTCTGTGAATCTCGGGCAGCTGAAGTATTTCCAGCTGGGCGTCGTGTACCTGGAGCTGAATGTTTTGACTGATGCATGAAACTATATATTTTTACACATAACTTATAACGGCCGTCATTTTCTTTGTGAGTATTTATCAGACGGCGTGCTGCGGGGAAAGGCCTGCTCTAACGTTTAGTCTAAGGTTTATTTTGAGCACCTGACGGCTCTTTATTGCCTCTCATCTGTAAACTCTCTCCACACTCTTTCACGTGATCCTTGCATGGGTGGTAGAGGTTTGTCGTGTTTGAGTCTGAGGTGGGGACCTCAGTACGCTTTTCTGGTCCGTGTCAGACTTTTCATAACCAAACCATGTCCATGCTACAGAGGTGGCCCCTCGTTTTGACTGGTCCTTCTGTTTGTCATCACTTCAGTTTATTTTGAAAAATCTCAACAGGATCTTCAGCTTTATTGTGAAAGGTTTATGTGGAAAATAAACAAGCGGAGCCAAATGCAGGGTTTACCATTGCTGTGGCTAACGACAACGCGTAAAAGCAGTCGCTTATCTGTCCGTAGTGTGGTTATTTTAAATATAAGCGAAAGAGAAAACCTTAAGAAATTAATACAGTCACTATAGCGACCATCAAAACCATGAGAAAATAAACCATAAACAGTTTATTTTGCGACACCACAAAACAAACGATAGCGTAATATTAAACGATAGACGTTTTCATATCGTCATCAGATATACACCGTTATATCGAACAGCCCTAATGTGCATCATCACCAGTCATTTTTAAGTCTGTTAAAAGGATGACAGACATATGAAGCCTCAGAGGCAGCGAGGAGCACACAAGAGAAGTTGTCGGGCATAAACGTCTCCGTCTTCATCTCTCTGTAACTCCTCCTCGTCGTCTGAGCTGAATACATAATACAGTCTCTCTCTCAGTATCCTGATGCTGTGTAGCAGCCTTTCTCCCTTACATCCACCCATCCGTCTCTACATCTCCATTCATCTTTGTCCTCGCCTCCTTCATCTCACCCCCCGTTCTGTCTCTTTCCACACCTCACCTACTTGCTCTGTGTGTGTGTGTGTGTGTGTGTGTGTGTGTGTGTGTGTG